GTGGCAGTAGTTCCTTTCTAAATATCTAGTAGAATTCAGCAGTGAAGCCATCAGCACCTGGGCTTTTCTTAGTTTGTAAGATTTTAATTACATTTTCAATTTCATTGATTGATATTGGGTCATTTAGAATTTTTAGGTCTTCTTCATTCAACTCTGGTAATTCATACATTTCTAGGAATCTGTCCATTTGTTCTGTGGTTTCGATATTATTGGCATATAGGTCCCTGAAGTCGGTTTTGATGGTCTTCTGGATTTCTGCTGGGTCCACTGTAATTTCATCCTTTTCATTCCTAATTTCATGGATTTGGCCCATTTCTTTCCTTTTTCTGATAAGTTTGGCTAAGGGTTTGTCAATTTTGTTTATTCCTTTGAAAATCCAACTCTTGGCTTCCTTGATTTTTTTGTATTGTTCTTTTAGTCTCCATTGCATTGATTTCTGTTCTGGTCTTTATAATTTCCTCTCTTGTATGAGCTTTGGGTTTGTCCTACTCTTCTTTTTCTAGAAGCTTGAAGTTCAGCATCAGGTTGTTTAATTGGGCTTGCTCTCTTTTCCTAATATGAGTATTCAGTGCTATGAAGTTCCTTCATAAGACAGCTTTCATTGTGTCCCATAGATTCCAATATGTTGTATTGTCATTGTCATTTATTGAAGGAACTGTCTGATTTCTTCTTTACTTTCCTCTGTGACCCATTGGTTATTCAGAAGTTTGTTATACAATTTCCATGTGTTCATGAAATTCTTGTTGTTTCTTTTGCTTTTGATCTCCAATTTCATCACACCGTGGTCTAATAATATACAGGGGATAACTTCAATCCCTTTGCACTTATTTAAATATGTTCTGTGAGTGAGTATGTGGTCTGTTTTGGAGACTGACTCGGATGGAGCTGAAGAGAATGTGTATTCTGATTTTGTGGGGTGGAACACTCTTTAAACATCTGTTAAGTTCATTTGTTCAAGAGTTTGATTGAGTTCTAGTATTTCATTGCTTGTTTTTCATCTAGTTGATCTATCTATTTGTGACAGCGGGGTATTGAGGCCCCCCACTACTATTGTATTAGTTCTTGTATGATTTTTCATGTCCGTTAGTATTTGTTTTATGTAGTTGGGCACAGTAGTGTTTGGTGCATAGATATTCATGATTGACATCTCTTCTTGGATTGTTCCTTTTACAAGGATGTTTTATCCTTCTTTGTCTCTCTTAATCAGTGTGGGTTTGAAATCCACTTGGTCTGCCAAGAGGATAGCTACTCCTGCTTTTTTGGGGGTTCCTGTCACATGGAGTATTGTTTTCCACCCTTTAACTTTCAGTCATGAGTTTCTTTTTGAATTAAGTGTGATTCTAGTATGCAGCATATTATTGGATCTAGCTTCTTTCCTCATTCTGCCAGCCTATTTTTTTTGATTGGTGAGTTGAGACCATTATCTTTGATGGCTATAACTGATGTGTATTGACTTATCATTGTTATGACTTTTTCTTTTTGTTAGATTTTCCCCCTTTGCTTTTAATTTCTTGTCGTGCCCAGTGGATTCAGTCTCCTTGGCTGCCTGGGGTTGTGATCCTCATTGTGTTTTTATAAGATTTTGTCTAAAATTTTTTGGAGTTCTGGTTTGGTATTTATGAAGTTCCTCGGGTGCTCTTTGTCATGAAAGTATCTTATTTCACCATCAATTTTAAAAGATAATTTTGCAGGGTACATCAACCTGGGTTGGAGGCTGTTTTCCTTTAGGGCTTGCTATATGTCACTCCAAGCTCTTATTTCCCTGAGGGTTTGCACTGAGAATCTGCTGTGATTCTGATGGGCTTTCCTTTGCATATGATTTGTTTCTTTTCTCTAACTGCTTGCAGAATTTTGTTCTTCTGTTGGGTTTCTGGAATCTTAACTATTACATGCCTATATGTAGTTTGTTTTGATCCAGGCTAGTTGTGATACGGAAAAGTTTTAAATAACTTAGTAGATTGAATATTAAGGTAGTTGTAGAAGCAAAATAAGTAATGTGTTCCTTTAAGATTTGCTGTTTCTGTAACTCTTGTTGTTTAATGTGATAAGTTATCTGAATCTTTAACCAGTAATTTCATTAGCCTGACAAAGTTGCAATGGCTGGGTGAATTTACAATGTATATGTGCCTATCTTGTGTCTGTGACTTGTAAATAGGAAATGGAATTGTATTTACATATCAAAGACCACTAGGGATGAGATACTGGCTAAAAAGTATATAAAAGAGGAAACACTGAACAAAGGGGCATACGGATATTAACCAGACTGGTGTCTGGTGGTCCTACTGGCTTGCAAGTAGAAGTTTTATTATTTTACCTGAATTATGTGTCTCCGTGTATTTCTTTCTGAGATTTCGGGAAAATTTGGAGTCCTATATGCCTCACTTATCTGTATGTCAAGTTCTTTTCCCCCCGCTTGGGAAGTTTTCTGCCATTACTTCTGTGAACAGTTTTTTAATGTCTTCTGCACTCTCTCCTGTTTCTTCATTGACTCCAATAAGTCTTATGTTATTCTTCTTTGCATCATCTATCAGCTGCTGGATTGATTTCTCGTGGTCCCTTACAATTTTAAAGCAATTTTTCTTGTTCTGGTCACTAATTGCAATCTTATCTTCTATATCTGAAATTCTGTCCTCACCTTAGCTTTTTCTGCTGCATCGACTTTCAATAGAGTTTTTAATCTTCTGGAAATCTGTTTGCATGTGTTTTATGGATTCCATTTGTTTCCTATGTTGGGATTCCATCATGTTCCTCAGCTCCTCTATTTTTTTTAATCTGTGTCCTTGCTAGATTTATTAATCATGTCTTGCACTATGGGCACAATCTCTGCTGTTCTGTGAAAATTTATTTCTGATTTCATTTTTTCCAGATCTTCTTTTATTGCTAGTTCAGGGAGTCTAGGTGATTGAGTATCAGAGTGTTCCATCTTGTTTCCCTTTGAGATTGCTGTAGGTGATCTGGAAGTCTGGTTCTGAGGCTGGTTTACATGTCTTTTCATTTCGGCGGGGGTGGGGAGGGGAATGCTGCTGACGTCCATGTGGTTCACCTCCTCTGTGCTGGGAGTGGTGGTAGGTTGACCTGGAAACCTCCTACTCTGCACTGAGAGCTGTGGCACAATGACCTGGAAGCCTCCTCCTCTGGGCTGGGAGCTGTGGCATGTTGACCCTGAACCCTCCTTTGTGCTGGGAGCAGTCAGGAATTTATACCTCTACATGATATATCTTGTTTCTTATTTTTCCCCCATTCCCTTGTCCTTCATTCAACCCCTTCATCCATCTCTATTTACAAAGACTTTGTTTCCATTTGTTCCTTTTCTCATATGTTTTCCTTTCCCTTACCCTTCCCACTTCCCTTTCCATGTCCCCTTTGGACTTTTTCTTCCTATTTCACATTATGTATTATACATTTCAATACTCATTTACTCTTTCACTTTCTCACACCAAAGAAGCTATTTGATATTTACACATGTATGTCCTATTTATTTTACTTAAGTATGTGGCTTCAATGTACATCCATTTAGCTATAAATGTCTAGTTTCTCATTCCTCATGGCTGAGTAGTATTCCATTTTATTAAAAAATACATATTATTTATCCAGTCTCCAGTTGATGGGCAATTGGACCATTTCCAAGTTTTAGCTATTGCAGACTGTGTGGCTATGAATATGGTGCACATATAATGCTGTGCTATGATGTTTTTAATTCTTTTGTGAAGATACCCAGCAGGAGAATAGCTGAGTCAAATGGGACCTCTAATCCTAGTTGTTTGAGATAAATCCATACCTCAAATTTGAGGTATCTCCTAATTGTTTAAGGTATCTCCATACCACTGTGAATTCCACAGTGGTTGCACTGCCTATACTCCCACCATCAGTGGAGAAGGGTTCTTTTTTCACCACAGACGTGCCAGCATTTGTTATTGGTTGATTTCTCAATAACAGTCATTCTTTCTGGAGTGAGGTGTAATCTCCGAGTTGTTTTCACTTGCATCTCTTGATGACCAGTGATGTTGAACATTTTTCATATGTTTATTCGCTATTTCTATTTCTTTATCTGAGAAATGTCCATTCATTTCAGATGCCCATTTTTGGATTGGGTCTTTAAATTGTGGAGGTCTCCTTTTTTAAAGTTCTTTATATATTCTAGATAATAGGCCTTTGTCTGAGGAACAGCTGTTAAATAATTTTTTTCCCACATTGTGGGTTGTCTCTTCACACTGTTGGTGGTTTCTCTTGCTGTGCAGAAGCTTTTTCATGAGATGAGATCCCAGTTGTTGATTCTTCATGCTAGTTAACATGCAGAAACTTTTCTTTTTTCTTTGGAACACTGATGAGAAGCAGAATTATATGATATCACATCAAGAATATGAAGCCAACATTCTAGTATTGCTGTTGGTTTCAAGAAATATTTAGAGTAGCAGTTTTGAACATTATCAAAAAGAAGCATAAATACACCTAAGGATTAAGGTGTAAGATTTGATTATTCACAATACATAAAGTCCTGGGGAAACTACTATGAAGCGAGACTAAAGTTCTAGCAAATCAGTACATGTGACATTGGAATATAAGCTTAACTTTTTTAAGGACAAGATTTCCCAACCAAAAGGATCTAAGAAACAATAGACTGTATTTCCCTTCACCAGTTTAAATTTTGACTAACTCAGAAGTAGCTGCCCATATTGCTTACTAAGGTAGATATTTAGAGGAAAAATTAGTAATGAGTTTCATAAAAATAGGATCTTATAGTATCAACAAGCTGATATTTGGCTTTCAGATATGTGACCCACATTATGTGGCTTCAGTCTTTTTAACTTACATGGTCATTGCTTACTTGGGTTTTCAAATGTAAAATGGGGAAACCAAATGTATCCTAGTGCAGTTTCTTAATGATAGGGAACATGTGGCAATTTTAAAAGCAATGATATAATTCTACTTAAGTGTCATTTGGAATAATTAAAATCTCCTTCTTTCTCATAGCCTTTTTATGAAAAATTTTAACTGAAGAAATGGAACCTGCAAATTACACAAGGGTGACAGAGTTTGTTCTCACCGGCCTATCACAGACTCGGGAGGTGCAACTAGTCCTGTTTGTTATATTTCTGTCCTTCTATCTGGTCATTCTTCCAGGGAACATCCTTATAATTTGCACCATCAGGCTGGATCCCCATCTCACTTCTCCTATGTATTTCCTGTTGGCAAACCTGGCCTTTCTTGATATTTGGTACTCCTCTATTACAGCCCCTAAAATGCTCGTAGACTTCTTTGTGGAAAGGAAGACAGTTTCCTTTGGTGGGTGCATTGCACAGCTCTTCTTTTTGCACTTTGTTGGAGCCTCAGAGATGTTTCTGCTCACAGTGATGGCCTTTGACCGCTATGCTGCTGTCTGCCGCCCCCTCCACTATGCTACCATCATGAATCGACGTCTGTGCTGTAAGCTGGTGGCTCTCTCCTGGATAGGGGGTTTCATTCATTCCATAATACAGGTAGCTCTCATTGTTCCACTTCCTTTCTGTGGACCCAATGAGTTAGACAGCTACTTCTGTGACATCACACACGTTGTCCGGATTGCTTGCTCCAACACCTTCCCAGAGGAGTTGGTGATGATTTTTAGCAGCGGCCTGATCTCTGTAGTGTGTTTCATTGCTCTGATAATGTCCTATGCCTTCCTTCTGGCTATGCTTAAGAGACATTCAGCCTCAGATGAGAGTATCAAGAGGGCCAGGTCTACCTGCTATTCCCATATCATCATAGTGGTGCTAATGTTTGGGCCTTCCATCTACATTTATGCTCGTCCATTTGACTCTTTTTCTCTAGATAAAGTGGTATCTGTGTTCCACACCGTGATATTTCCTTTACTTAATCCCATCATCTACACATTACGAAACAAGGAAGTAAAGACAGCCATGAGGAAGTTGGTAAACATGCATATTATGTAAAGAGAAGTGAAAGATAAATTACATATTTTATAGTCCTTTTGAGGATCATTGTCCTATAGTAGAAAGCAATTGCAGTGGTAATAATGCTGCTTTTGCTTCCTCCTTTTACCCAAATTTATAGGCTTTCATTATGATTTTCTTCTATTTAGGATAAAAGAAAAGCAAATACATTTAGATGGAAACAAATTTTCTCACACCCACCTAAAAGATCTGGCAGATCATTATTAGAATTGGAAATATAATAATGTTCTGCTAATACAGTTTTCCAATAATTATTCATTGAGCAACTACCTTGGAAGGTAGCTATGCTAACCATTATACCACCAACGCCTCTCAACAACTACCTTGGAGAGACTCTGGCTGTGAAGAAAATGTGTGTTAAGAAATTGTCCCAGCCCGCGGGTAAGTCAACGGAGACCCTAGAGGGGGAGTGAGAATGACAAGGGACAAGAGACACGAGAGGTGGAGACAAGACAGGTTTCTGATCAAGTCTCGTTTATTACGGAAGCTGCTACAGCATATATACCGTAGGGCTAGAGGGAAGGAGCAAGGGGAGGGTACTGGGGCTACTTCCTTGTTGCGGGGTAGACTTGCAGCAGGCCCAGACATGCCCGTAAAAGGCACTGAAGAGTTCTAGCGGGGGGGGGCAAGGCCCCCCACAGGAAATAGTAAAATAAATAAGATCATAGAGACATACATACTTTGACTATGAAAGAGCAAGTGGTACATCCATGTTACTAACTTCATTTTACCAAATTAAACATCATTGTCATATTTCAGTCTTGCCCCTGTAAGAGTATGTGTTGAATCATCTTCTTGGGTCTAGAAAATAGATTATCTATTTTTTCTTTTATCTCTTCTTTTTCTAGTTCATGGATACTGAGGATGCATTTATACAAGCTACCACAACTTGCACTTCAGGTGGTAACCATTCAACAGCATTGGTGCCAGAACTCAAGATTTTACTACATTATCGAAACAACTGTTATGAATTCAGAACAAAGTATAGTTTGGTTACTTTATAAGATTCTTTTCATTTTAGAGAGAGCCTTCTGCCAACTAGCAGTTTGGTAGCCAGTCTCTGCTTACAGCCTTCAGAATGAAAGGAGGCTTGAAAGAAAGGGGCTCTATCTAGGTGGTTAGAATAGAGAGTTATCTCCTTTCTCACCTGTTTGTTTTCTATACTTGCTAATTCTGTGTCTCATGATAAACCAAGTACTAGAATGCCAATTTTGCTAACATTATCACTCAGGGCTATTTTCTATAACCCATCTCTTTAGGCAGGTGAAAGATACCTACCTAGAGGTATTGATTCCTATGATTGACTAATGAATTACCTTTAGAGGATTAATTTCCTATTTCCTGACTAAGAACTCAACTGATGACTGTTTTTCTGAATATAAAAAGTAGATGAGAACATTTGAGTTCATAGAATGAGTTTATTTACTTAAATTAGTTTTTGATTTCAGAACTAGGGAGAGTTTGCATGAAGGGGTAGAACATATTGTATACAATGAGCTTTCATATTTTATTTGATGATGTAATATGACTAGACTATGAGGAAAATAGACTCCTATTAACAACAGGAATGAATAGGTAGAAATGATAAAAATAATACTTGAATTACTATTTGTCTACAGAGAAATAGCTTTGGGAATTTTTCTTTATGTTGACCTTCTTCCAACTTCAATGCTACATAACTTCTTTTCTAGGAACTACATAACTTCTTTTCAAAGGCACAGACTGGAGTTATGATTCCTGAATTTTGAGTTACTTCTCATCACTTGAAAATGAACAAAACAGTAGACTACTGTTTTACAACAGATTATTAAAAATTTAAAATACAATATATACCTGTACATAATAAAATGATGAGTTATGTTTCTAGATTTTATATTACATTATTTTCTATATAAACCAGGCAGAACTTCTACTCATTTTGTAATTTATACCTCATCTAACTGGGATTAATATCCTTGGGAAAAAGATCACTGGCTTGTTATAGTGTTTAAACATCAGTGAATTGCTACTACAGAAGGCTACCTGCTGAAAACATTGAAGCTAGCAATAAAAAGGATAAAAGGTAATATGATAAATAATTGCTTGATTACAAATATTAGCTGAAACCAGAAAATAATGTTGGCAAGGAAGTAAGGGAAGTGGCACACTACTAGTGCACAGTTCATATAAGGCTTGATTGGAATGAGTTCGGGGTGATTTTACAATTCTCACCAGGGCTAAGTCTGGAAACATTTTGGTGGGGACTGCTATTGGCATTTTGTACTGCTAAACACTGCTAAACATCCTACAAGGATCAGGATGGTCTCCTCACCCCAAATATCTGGCCCCCAGTGTCAATAGGATGAAGTTTGTGAAACTCTTGAGTTAGGTAAGGAGCAGGGATAAGGCAAGCTACTTTAGGAGAACTAGATATTAACCACATATACAATCATATCAAACACACTATTCTCTATGAAATAACCTAATACCTTTAGCAGTGAGTTGAAAAATTTGCCAGGAGACTCCTTTACTCACATAAATTTCTTATTTCCTCTTAGTTAATTTTAAATGTCATTTAATCCTTTTTTCTACTTTTCAGTTTCTACTACTTATTCTTTCTTCAAGAGCTTGAAAATTTCTTTAAAAAATTAAATCAACAATATCCAGATCAAGTAACAATGTTGTTGGCTCAAGATTTCAATTGTATTTTCAATTATATTGACTTGGATGAAAATTTGGAGCCCAAGTTTTTTCTATCTCATGACTTTCTGCTAACCTCAGTATTTACAAGATGGATTTTACTATTACATCTGATAAAAAGAAAAACTGCTTTACCGTCTAAATAAAATTACAGTTTTTCTGTGTTATACTTTCTAAAATAATGAACATTTGTTCATTAAAATTTCGAAGTGTATGTTCATATAAAGAAAAGGACAAATATTTTCCCCAGGAGAGAAGTTTTCCTTTAACAAGGTTTATATAGTTTCACCCTCCCCACTCCACTGGAAGCAGGCCAGTTGGCTTACATACCTTGCTTACTAATCTAATTAACTTTCATTAAGCAAATGGAAGTGAAAGTGGAGCAAAAGCTACAAAATTCTTCAGACAAGTGTAACCCTCAGATTCTATATCTAGTAAAACTGGTATTTAAATTAAAAGGCTAAATGTTTTAAATATGCAAAAAAAATTTTGAAGAACACTGTTTTCAAGCTCTTTTGAGGAAATTCCCAGAGAACAAAATTTAGTCAATCATGTGAAGTCTCAGAAACTAGAACAAAAAGCTGGATACAAAATATTAAATGTGCCTAATTAATATAATTTTAGGGTTATTAAACTACATTAAGATATAAACCTAATATCAAAACTAATGTAGAAATTTGCATGACAAAGGGGGATAAAATGCTGTGTCAATGCAGTGACAACAGAAATGCACTCCATTTCCATCCAGTGGCAGGTTAGATGGCTTTATTGAACCTGTCACTAAAAATAAACCCATTCTTTAGATAAATATATCTGGAAACACCTTGGTAAGCTGTCAAGATTAAACTCCCAAACCATACAGAATATTGAAAGTCTAAAATTCAAAAGGAACTGGGAATACAGTCTAAGAATTAAGTGAATTTGAGAAACCAGAGAATTAAATGAGCAGAAATCATTGTTCATCAGTTTTTATCCTGAAGACTTGTGTTCTTTTTTCAAGGCCAGAAATATAGTTGGTGGAGTGGAGATGTGTGGGGGACAAAGTCCAGGGCTCATGCAGTGATATATTCCACAACTAACTGAGGTTCCAAAGGATATATTCTCCAGGTAATAGGGAAGCAGTTCTTTAAAAAATTTACCCAGCAAAGATGCAAGAGAAAAAGACTTGTGAACCTCTACTGGCCATTAGGATTCTTTCTTTGTATATTTAAATTTTTACAGTTTTACCAGAACATCTCTAAAAGTGGATGATTGTGAGCCAAGTTTCTTCTTACATTTGGTTTATTTCAGGAAATACACTAGTAGTTTTAAATATTTGCTTCTCATACCTATAAAACTCCTTTCATCTGATACAGATTAGCAAAAAGAAAAGAAGAAGAAATTAGATAATTTTATTAGCAGATTTCAAGACTTGTTATAAAGCTACAGTGACCATGAAAATGTGGATTGATACAATGAGGTACACAGAGATTAATGGAACAAAATAGAACGTGCAGAAACAAATGGTACATTTATTTTTAGTACACACCAATGCCATTTTGTGAGAAAGAGAAAATTTAAACAAATGATGTTAGAGCCCTGAATATTTATTTGGAAAATAATGAACTTGGACATCTACTTCATTGCCTATGAAAAAAATTGATTTGAACAGTATCACAGGCCTAACTGTAGTAGCTAGAAAAATACAAACCATTTAGAAGAAAACACAGAAGAATTGGTTGCTTACAAAATGGTGATAATTAATGATTCTTTACGTATCATAAAAGCAGCTTTAAATGCAAAAAATACAGTGAACCCCGCACAATTAAAGATTTCCAAAAAGCAAGACATACCACTATGAAATTAGTAAACAATTAAACACACTAGAAGGAAAATCTAGTCTTTGTTAGTACCCCTCCATGTGAAAATGGACAAAAGATTGGAATACATACTTCAGAAAAGAATCTGGGCAAATGTAGGCTCATGCAAATAAGATTAATCACCAGGAAAATGGCTTACAACATATGATCGAGCATTCAGGCAGAGCACTCTTAAGCCACTTTGCAGGATGGGCTGAAATTTGCTTCACCAAAGCCTGAAAGAGAAAGAAGAAGTTGTGTATCAAGTGTCACCAGAGCACCTCGCAGAGACCAGACACCTTGGTATAAATGACTCAGTTGTCCCAATGCTTATCAGTGTTGCCAAACAGATCAGACTCATCCCACGGCAGTAGAAGGTGATCACGCCTCCTCCCCTGCAGGCACTCACTCCAGGCACTGGACACTCTAAACTACGTGGCGGCTCTGGGAGGACTCAGCCAT